TACAATCCAAATGCTATCATTATCAAACCATGGTCTGAAGTTTGATGGGGTTCTAAGGCTGTGAGATCATCCACCCCAAAATACGTTGGGCTATGGAAAAACAGGGGGGGCTCGGAAAGCAAAACAAAGGTTGCCTTGGTTATGGTGCTATTTGAGACATCGACACTCCCGAGCTTGAATTGGTCTTCTTTCAAAATATCAACTCTTCGTCTCCACAAATGTACGTTTTTAAAGTTCCTGGGCCCCTTTTAATGTGTGCCGTTCACAACTGGGAGCAGGCCCAGCTGAGACCACTCTGTAAGGCCACCTGCCAATAACCAGGATACAACTGACTTTGTTGCTACAAATAAAACACACACATTCCTGTTGAGAAATAAGGGATGCCTGGATTTATGCCTGTAGGAATCAAGAAAGAAGGGCGGAATAGATCCTGGAGCAATCAAAAGCTCCCACTTTTCATTGATGGGTTGAGATCATAAGTCTCAAATATCACCCATATGAAGCAGAAGCGGTACAACGTTCAATTCCCTTCTCTAAAGCTAGACCAAGGATCTTCAAAACATGGCAAGTTTAAGACTTGTGGACTTCCAACTCCCAGAATTCCTGAGCTAACATGACTGGAGGAGGAATTCTGGGAGTTGAAGTCCACAAATCTTAAAGCTGTCAAGTTTGAAGACCCCCTGAATTCTATCATCTGTCTGTCTGTCTGTCTATCATCTCCCCATCCATCCATCCATCCATCACAAGGGCCTTCAAACTTGGCAAGTTTAAGACTTGTGAACTTCCAACTCCCAGAATTCCTGAGCTAACATGACAGGAGGAGGAATTCTGGGAGTTGAAGTCCACAAGTCTTAAAGCTGTCAAGTTTGAAGACCCCTGAACAGTTAAGGTACCAGCCAAACTCAAATCTCCAGAGATTCTCAGCCATCCAGGTCAGCGTTGTGTCAGCTTTGGAAGCCATATTGAGATCCGATGCTCCCATGCTGCCACAATTGAGCCTAGGAAAGTGGAAGGCGGGAATTCATTGGAGTATATCTAATTACCGAGTTTCTCATATAATAAGGCTGGGTCTTATTTTTTTTTGAGCCCCGAAAAAATGGCTAGGCTGTCTTTTGGGGGGTGACTTAATTCCCCCCCCCTTGTATCTTTGGGCGGGTGGGCAGCGACGGCTTGGATGTTGACCTCGGCGTTGGTGGGGCACTTCGTATCGGGGTCAATGCAGGCAGCACCATATCCGGAGGGAGGGAGGGAGAGAGACAGAGACAGAGGGAGGGAGACGGAGACAGAGACAGAGGGAGGGAGGGAGAGAGAGAGAGACAGAGGGAGGGAGGGAGAGAGAGACAGAGGGAGGGAGGGAGAGACAGAGAGAGAGGGAGGGACAGAGAGAGAGAGAGAGGGGGAGGGAGGGAGAGAGAGAGAGGGAGGGAGACAGAAACAGAGAGAGAGAAAGAGAGAGAGGGAGGGAGGGAGGGGGAGAGAGAGGGGGGGATTCAGGAACTTGGGTGGCTCAGCAATTTCTGTGTTCTTGGACATCCCGAGTCATTCAAAGCTTTCCCTTGAGATGACAGATTAAGGCCACCTCATTTTCCAAAGCTTTTAACGGGTAATTGGTGCTGGTTGGTGCTTTTATCACTCTGTTTATTTAAACTTCCTCTCCTGCTGATCTTCCTGTATGTATTTGTTCTTGTTGTGCTCTGACTGAGTTGCAGGACACTGTCTGTCTATTTGTTTTAAGCGTTTCTTAGCCCAGCTTTCAGTCCACAGCTTTGAGACAGTAGCTTGGCCAGTAGAGTAAAAACCAACCCAAAGACAATATGCGAAATAAAGAAAGGCAATGGCGCAACGCAGTCAACACATCAAAAGCAGCGGCCCATGGCTCAGTTTCCGAAATAATAATTAGAAGGCCTTAAAGATGACAGAGAAGACTTCCAAGGAAGTCCCAGAATTGGAAAGGGACCGCCAACGATGACCTCTTAATTGGAAGATCTTGTCAGGTGTGAAAGACCAGGCCCACACCTGAAGGCTTCATTAAACAGATTTATTGCTTATAGGGGGTGGCTTAGTGGCTAAGACACTGAGCTTGTTGACCAGAAAGGTCGGCAGTTTGGCAGTTCGAACCCCTAGCGCCACGTAATAGAGGAGTTCCCGTTCCTTGTCCCAGCTTCTGCCAATTTAGCAGTTCGAAAGCACATAAAAAATGCAAGTAGAAAAATACGGACCACTTTGATGGGAAGGTAACAGCGTTCCCTGCGCCTTCAGTGTTTAGTCATGTTGGCCACATGACCACAGAGATGCCTTCGGACAGCGCTGGCTCTTCGGCTTTGTAACGGACGACTAGCGCGTATGTGCAAGGGGAACTTTTCTCTTATTGCTTATAGCCTGTGCCTTAGGAATCTTCCCAACTAACACAACAGAGTTAGATAAGGGTCAATGGCACTGGAGAAGGGTTGGACTTAGTTCTCTTGTGACTATGTAGGGATTCTAGGCCGATTGCTGTTTTTACTCTGCCCCCGGTTCTGCCATCTCTTCTACGGGTCTGGAGGACAGTATCCCCAAAGGATTTGCATGTTATAAGCAATGGATTCAAATCCTTTTTGGAAAATAAAATAAAATAAAGTAAAATAAAAAGCCAGGTCAAATTTCTCTAGAATGCACTTAGCTGCTGAAGGACAGAAGACGGAATTCAATTACAACTTGGGTATGGATCCCAAGCTGGCAATTCACATTTAGACCGGAAGCAAACAGGCCAGCTTTTAAAAATGAATATTTATCTACATTAAATATTTGCAAGACTGCCATCGAGGCAAAAGATATACTACATCATGTACACCTGGTTTTTTTTTTTTTAAAAAAAGCGAAAGTCGAACCTGTTACAAAATAAAGGACTGAAGAACACCTTGGCAAACTATTCTTAAAAATATAATACAAGCCCACTAAAGCATTATCATGCCGCTGGTGGAGACTAACTCTGAGGGAGAGGAGGAACAGCCGACAGGGAGTGGAAGTGGGGCTCCGGAGGTGGTGGAGAAGGCTGGGAAGGGCAGAGGCCGGCTGGGCAGTCAGATGAGGACCCAGGCCCATCCCCTCTCCATCCTAGGGCACGCAGGGAGGAGAGGATAAGGGAGAGACGTGAATGGCATGGTCTATGGGGGAGGAAAGGGCCTTGATCTCTTCATGGGCTGCAGCTGTGACAACTGGATAAGAGGACGGACATGCGTACTGGCGAGTGCTGGAAACAAAGCATTGGAAATCTCTAGTTTATGGTTCCTCTCTGAGTTTGGCGTCCTTCCCAGTGTGTGTTCTGTTATCTGTGGACGTCCTCCAGCCCTTATCTTGTCTGGTTTGTGTTGCTTTCCCCCTCCTTCTTGTAACTGCTCGTGTAGGAGTTTTTTTGTCTTCCGCCAAGGATATTTGGAGCTTGGAAGCAAAGTGAAGGAATAAAAGGGGCTTCCCCTGTTTTCTGTGACTGTGTTTGTTTTGTATCCCACCCTGGGTCATCACAAGCATCTTGCAAACACACAGCTTTATCAAACAAGTACAGCCAATCTCATCAAGTACAATAAGAGCCAGGAGAGGTGCGGATGCAGCCCTGGTGTTAAACTAGTGCTGGCTAAAAAAATTATTTATAATCACTGTTAAACCAGGATTTGTTTCTCAAGTTGTCCCACTTTATTTCAGGTATTACAGGCACTCCTCGACTTATGACCACAATTGAGGCCAAAATTTCCATTTTAAACAAGGCTTTGCCCCATGATACGACCTTTCTTGACACGGTTGTTAAGTGAATCACAGCAGTTATTAAGTTAGTAACAGAGTTGTTAAGTGAATCTGGCTTCCCCAGTGATGTTGCTCGTCAAAAGATCGCAAAAGGTGATCACATGACCCTGGGACATAGCAACGGTCATAAATATGAGTTGCCAGGTGCCTGAATTTCGATCATGTGACCGTGAGGGGGGGATGCTGCAATGGTAATAAGTGTGAAAAATGGTTGTAGGTGTGAAAAATGGTCATAGGTCTCTTTTTTCACTGCCGTTGTAATTTTGAATGATTATAAATTGAGGACTGCCTGGAATCCTGGAAAAGTTGGTGGCGATTGCTGGATTAAAACACAAATTTATACCTACATCCTTTTCACCTTCTTGCCCTCTAAAACATCTGGCTCTCCTCTCCCAATGACTAAAGCAGACATCAAACCCCCAAAAGTAAAAAAAAAACACCAAAACCCACCAATACACAATAGCAATAGCACTTATATACTGCTTCACAGTGCTTTTACAACCCTCTCTAAGTGGTTTACAGAGTCAGCCTCTTGCCCCCAACAATCTGGATCCTCATTTAACCCACCTTGGAAGGACGGAAGGCTGAATCAATCTTGAGCCTTGGAGTGAGATTTGAACTGCCAAATTGCAGGCAGCCGGCAGTCAACAGGAAGTAGCCTGCAGTACTGCACTCTAACCACTGTGCCGCCGCAGCTCATAGATTTGACAGATACGATACGATAGATTTGTTACGCGCAGAGCCAAAACATAGCCTGACAAGTTAACAGCATCATCTGCAAATGCAGGTTCCTGGTTGTCCATCTGCTTACTCCATTACAAAAGCTGACATGTTTAAAGCCCTTATAAATAAAATATTGCTTTGCAAGTCATTACGATAGGAAGCCTTTCTCCAAAATGAAGACAAGAGAGGCACCAGCATGACCCTGAATTCATTTCCAATCAGAGCTCGTTCATCCAGGAATTGATTCTTGTTAGCAACAAGCAGGTGCTTTTTTTTTTTTTTAAAGGGGGATAAGTGTGTGCATCACGCATAGGGAAGCTCAAAAACAAAAGACAAATTAAGTCGCATTCGAAAATTCAGGGGGGTCCAGCAATTAATATTTCTAAAACCCGACGGTAGGATAGGGAAAACAAAGTATCATCATTTGGTTCAACTCTACTTTTGGGGGGATGACAGAGGATGTTAAAATTATTACTGCAAGTAAAGAGATGGGGTCTTACCTTATCGTCAATATCACTCTCGCTGTCACACTGTAAATTTAAAAAAAGAGAAAGGAAAAGGTTCAGTTATAATTGATAGGGAGAATAAAATCAAGGTGTCATTCACCACTAAATCCTCTACTTTTCCTCTCTTCTAGAATGAAAATCCTTGTGTCAAAGGTAATAATAATATTATTTCTTTTTACTATTGTCATCTCTCAGGCCCGTTTCCATCTCACAAGCCAACCAGAGAAAGTTTTAATTTCAGTACTGCTAAATTTCAGCTTTCAGATGATTTCACTGAATCCAAGAATTGGTGCGATCCTGTGGACCAAAAATGGAAAGCACAGAAGATCTTTGATGTCCCTTCTAACAACTCTTGAAGTCTCTTTTCACCCTGATGGTACTTTCCTGCCCTGCTGAGTTTGCAAGACATGCAAAGTAGTCAATCATAATTAAAAAAACAAACAAACCTTCCACCCCTGAAATCCAACCCCATCCAGGTAGACAATGTGGTTCTATTTAACTGCAGAAGCCAAATTTTCAACCCGCTACAAAGCGTCTAAAAATTTCCCGCCCTTGTAATATGATCAGCTTTTTTCAAATTTGGTAGACTAAGGTGTTGGTGGGGGATTCTGAGGATTGAAGCCCACTCCTCTTAAATACAAATAGGTAAAGGTAAAGGTTTCCCCTCGCACATACATGCTAGTCGTTTCCGGCTCTAGGGGGCGGTGCTCATCTCCGTTACAAAGCTGAAGAGCCAGCGCTGTCCGAAGACGTCTCCATGGTCATATGGCCGGCAGGACTAAATGCCGAAGGCACATGGAACACTGTTCCCTGCCCACCAAAGGGGTCCCTATTTTGCTACTTGCATTTTTTACATGCTTTCAAATTGCTCGGTTGGCAGAAGCTGGGACAAGGAACGGGAGCTCCCTCCGTTACATGGCGCTGGGATTCGAACCGCCAAACTGCCGACCTTCCTGATCGACAAACGTCTTAGCCATTGAGCGTCTTAGCCACGGAGCCACCACGTCCTCTTAAATACAAATACGATACCCCCCCAAAAAAATAAATGCTGAGACCCCAGAGAGTGTGCAGAGAAGGGCAACAAAGATGAAAATTGTACGATGAATGTTTGAGGGAGCTAGGTACGTCCAGCCTAGCGATCAGAAGGTTTCGATATTGTATTTCGATATTTGAGGGGCTGTCCAAGAGGAGAGAGAATTGACTTATTCTACAAAGCACCAGAGGGCAGGACAAGAAGTAACGGTTGGAAGCTTGTTAAGGAGAGATTCAACCTAGAAATGAATTTTCTGACAGTGAGAACAATTAATTGATGGAATAGTTTGCCTCCTGGAGTTGAGGATGCTCCATCACTGGAGGTTTTCAAAAAATAGACTAGACCAGTTCTTCTCAACCTTTTCTTTACCATGCCCCCCCCTTAAATAGACCATGTTCCATGGCCACGGACCACCAAAATTTAAATCATAACATTGTTAAGCCTTCACACTCTCCCTGTGATGACATCGCGTAGCCCCCAGGGGTCTGTGGACCACAGGTTGAGAACCACCGGACTAGACCAACGTTTGTGCAGAATGGTATAGGTTCCCCTGCCCTGAACAGGGGGTTGGACTAGAAGGATGCTCCCCAACCTTTGCAGCTTGGTGGGCCTGGCTGGGGGGCAGGCAGAGGGGAACTGGGGCACGTGAGCGACTCAATTTGCACAAGGGACAGGCCATTGCATGTGCACATACAACGCAACCTGCATAAATTGAGCTGCATGTTCGTGTGCACCAGTCCTAGTGTGGCCCGGTTCTGAATAGGCCATGGCCAGAGGATTGAGGAGCCCTGGATCAGAAGACCTCCAAAGTTCCTTTCTGATTATATTTTCTATATCCCAAAGCAGCCAATTTGAAAAACGCTCCTCTAAGTCCTAAGGGAAGGAGCTGTTCTGACCCAGCTCCCCAAACACGACAAACCCTCTGAAGTTAACTCGAAGATTCCTTTATTAGGAACACAAGTAGCCCCAGAAAAGAAGTTTCTTCTCTCTCACTGCAGGCTAACAAGTCCATTGGGCAGGGAGATGAATAGTTGTCTGCCACAGCTATTCATCTCCGCCCTCGGCCTTTTATCCCCAGAGCTAGGGTGGTGCCTCACTAGCAGCAGTGGCTCTTCCATCCCAAGGACCGGCCCATAGATTTCCACTGCTCTCCTCTCCTCTGCCTTCTGTACATCCGTGTGTCAGGCACTGGACTCAGCTGTTCCTCCTCTTCCTCATCAGCCACCTCCAGACCTGGGTGCTGTTGACTCTCCCTCTGAGGGCCAACCGATGGCCCAGGCTCCACCTCTGTCTCTCTCTGTCTCTCTGCCAGCTCCATTCTCCTCCTCAGAGCTCTCCGGTTGCCTTGACTCCCACGCCTCCTCCTCCTCCTCCTCCTCCTCCTCCTCCTCCTCC